TTTTAGTCTGTGTTTGTGTTTAGATCTGGAGTGATTCTCCTATAGGTAGTGTGTGTGTGTGTGTGTGTGTGTGTGTGTGTATCTTGTTTTTTTTTATCCATTCAGCTACCCTGTCTTTTGATTGGATCACTTAGTCTATTTACATTTGAAGTGATTATTGATAGGTATGCACTTATTGCTATTTTGCTAATTTTTTTCTGGTTGTTTTTATAGTTCTTCCCTCTTCTTTCTTCTTCTCTTGTTCTCTTCCCTTGTGACTTTCTCTAGTAATATGTTTGCTTTCCTTTCTTTTTATTTTTTGTGTATTTGTTATAGGTTTTTGGTTTTTGGTTACCATGAGGTTCCTATAGTAACAGTCTACGTTTATAGCTGTTTATTTTAAATTAATGGTCACTTAAGTTAGAGTGCATTCTAAAAGCACTGCATTTTTGTCCACCCTCCACATTTTATGTTTTTGATGTTATCTTTTACATCTTTTTATTTTGTGTATCACTTAATTATTTTAGATATAGATGATTTTACTACTTTTGTCTTTTAACCTTCATACTAGCTTTGTAGGTGGTTCTTATCCACCTTTACTGTATGTTTGCTTTTACCAGTGAGATTTTTTTCTTTGCTAATTTTCTTGTTTCTAGTTATGGCCTTTTCTTTTTTGCTTGAAGAAATTCCCTTAACATTTCTTGTAATGTTGGTTTAGTGGTGATGAACTACTTTAGCTTTTTTTTTTTTTGTGGTACGCGGGCCTCTCACTGTTGTGGCCTCTCCTGCTGTGGAGCACAGGCTCTGGACGTGCAGGCTCAGTGGCCATGGCTCACGGGCCCAGCCGCTCTGCGGCATGTGGGATCTTCCCGGACTGGGGCACGAACCCGTGTCCCCTGCATTGGTAGGCGGACTCTCAACCACTGCGCCACCAGGCAAGCCCTCCTTTAGCTTTTATTTGTGTAGTAAACTCTTCAGTTCTGAAAGATACTACTTCAATTCTGAAAGAGAAACTTGCCAGTTAGTGTCTTCTTGGTTGTAAGTTTTTTTCCTTTCAGTACTTTGAATATATTGTGCCAGTTCCTTCTGGACTATAAATTTTCTGCTGAAAACTCAGCTCATTATCTTATGGGGGTTCCCTTGTAAGTAACTAGTTGTTTTTCTCTTGATGCTTTTAATATCTTCTCTTTATCTTTAACTTTTGATATTTTAATTGTAATGTGTCTTGGTGTGGGTCTCTTTGGTTTCATCTTGTTTGGGACTCTGTGCTTCATGGACTTGGATGTCTGTTTCCTTCATCAGGTTAGGGAAGTTTTTTTAACCATTATTTTGTCAAATAGGTTTCCTGTCCCCATTTCTCTCTTTTCTCCTTCTGGGACCCCTTTGTTGCGAATTTTAGTAAGCTTGATGTTGTTCCAGAGGTCCCTTAAACTATCCGCATTTTTTTAAACTCTTTTTTCTTTTTGGTGTTCTGATTGGATGATTTCCACTACCCTGTCTTCCAGATGGTTGATCCATTCTTCTGCATCTGCTGTTGGTTCCCTCTGGTGTATTTTTCATTTCAGTTATTGTATTCTTCAGTTCTGATTGGTTCTGTTTTACATTTTCTCTTTGTTGAAAGTTCTCATTGTGTTCCTCCATTCTTCTCCTCAGTTTGGTGAGCATCATTTTGGCTATTCCTTTGAACTCTTTATCTGGTAATTTGCTTATCTCCATATTGTTTAGTTGTTTATCTGAGGATTTGTCGTGTTCTTTTGTTTGGAAGGTCTCTTCGTTTTGCCTAACTCTCTGTGGTTGTTTCTTTGTATTAGGTATATCAGCTAGGTCTCTCCATTTGAAAGAGTGGCCTTATGTAGGTGTCCTATGGGGCCCAGTGGTGCAATCTCCCCTGCTTACCTGAGCCAGGAACTCTAGGGGTTTCCCCTGTGTGGGATAGCTGTCCTTCCTGTTTTGTTTGGGCTGTGATTGGTGCAGGTGTGCTGGTGGGTGGGGCTGGCCCCCAGCATGAGAGGCTGCAAGGCCTGGCCATGACTGTTACAGGTGCACTGTTTATGGGACTGGTCTCCAGTGTGGCAATACCTTGGTGAGACACCGGTCAGTGCTGGCTGGAGCAGCTCACTTGATAGGGTGAGGCAGGAGCTGCTTTGGAGGGGCCAGCTGAGACAGGCCGGTTGGGCAGGGCTGATCCTCAAGGGATGCTGGGGCAGGGTGGATGGTGTTAGCTAGGTTGACTGAGCGTGACAAAAATGGTGCCCACCTGTGCTGGGCCAGCTAGGTGGAAGGAAAGTAAAAAGATGCCTGCCAGCACTTCTGTCCCTAGAGAAAGTTCCACCAGATTGTTGCTCCTTTGGCACATGCCCTAAAATTAGTCAGTGAATCTCCTTCTCATATGACCCAGGTACTTTTCAAGCTGCTGCCTTTGCACTGGGACTTGGAGTGAGTGAGTTTGTGTCCAAGCCCTTCAAGAGGAGTCTTGGTTTCCCGCATCCCTCTGGTTCTCCTGAATATAATCCTCACTCTTTTTCAAAGCTGCACATTATTGGGGCTTGTTTCCTGGTGCAGGTCCTCTGGGCTGGGAATCCCAATGTGGGGCTCAGACTCCTTGCTCATCAGGGGTGACCACCACTGTGGTTGTGATATTCCTCCCGCTTGTGGTTGCTGTACCCAGTGTGTGGGTTCTGACTAGGCTACATCTGTGTCCCTACTTCTCATCTCAATATCCTTAGTTGCAGAAAATCTGTTCTGCTAGTCTTCAGGTCATTCTCAGAGATTTGTAGTTACTGTTTTGGTGTGTTTGTGGGAGGAGGTAAGCTCAGGATCTTCCTACTCTTCTTTCTTGATCCTGCCCCAGTACACATTTTTTAAAATCAAAAAATTTCCCTATGAAACTTATAGTTTGGCTCAATTTTAGATCTTTATTGCAAAATGAGTTGCTCCTTTGTGATACTTATTAAAATAAGAATGTTATTCATTTTATGCTAGCATCTAGAACTCTGTATAGGGCAATATTTCTAAAGATAGATTTTTTTGGGGGGTTCTCATATTTCTGTTATTTTACTACCTAATATTTAATGTCGACTAGTGTTATTTTCTCACTGTGCTCTTTTATGTGTTGTTTTATAGTTTTTCCATTTGGTCGTAAAAATTAAAGTGGAGTCAATAATTTCTGGGTTTTACAGGTCTCAGTGTACACCCCAAACGTGAAAAGAAGTATGAGGACAAATGGGAGAGTCTTAGCTAGAATTGTGATAGGATTTTAGTGGTTCTTGATCTAGCAGAAGGTCTCAAGTCTTTTGGATCTAAGCTGTTGTCAAGAGGGCTTCAAAAAAGTTGAGGATAACGGCAGCTGTTATCTGCACTGTCCAGTATGGTAGCTGGTAAGCCAGGTAAGACTCATATAAGAAAAGCTCATTACCTTATTGAGCACTTGAAATGTGGCTAATCTGGATTGACTTGTTCTGTGTCAAAAATGCACAGGACTTTGAGGACTCAGTATGGAAAAAAGAATATAAAATACCTCAATAAGTTTTTATTAATTTTATGTTGAAATGGTAATATTTTGGCTACACAGCAGTTCACCCTTATCTGCAGTTTTGCTTTCTGTAGTTTCAGTTACCCACAATCAAACACGGTCTGAAAATATTAAATGGAAAATTCCCTAAGTAAACAGTTCGGAAGTTTTAAATTGTGCCCTGTCCTGAATAGCATGATGAAATCTCGTGCCATTCTACTCCATCGTGCTTCAGATCCCCAGCCATTGACATGGTCTGCTTTTGACATTTAACCATTGACATCATCATGGCTCCATGACCCAGGGTCACCTGAAGCAGATGATCTTCCCTCTGACGTACTGTCAGAAGGTCAGTAGTCGCCTGGTGATATGTCACAATGCTTATGTCATTCCCCTCACTTCATCCCATCAAGTAGGTTATCATCTACATCATCACCAGAAGAAGGAGGAGTACAATACAGTAAGGTATTTTGAGAGAGAGACCACATTTACATAACTTCTGTTAGAGTACATGGTTATAATTGTTCAAATTCATTATTAGTTATTGTTGTTAATCTCTAACTGTGCCTAATTTATACATTAAACTTTACCATAGGTATATATGTATAGGAAAAAACAAAAAATATATATCGTTTGGTACTATCCACACTTTAAGGCGTCTACTGCAGGCCTTGGAATGTGTCGCCCACAGATAAGGGAGCACTACTTTTTTTTTTTTTTTTTTTTTGCGGTACGCGGGCCTCTCACTGTTGTGGCCTCTCCCATTGCGGAGCACAGGCTCCGGACGTGCAGGCTCAGCGGCCATGGCTCACGGGCCCAGCCGCTCCGCG